TACAGAACTGCAGAACTGTAAAATTATGTTCCTAAAAAGACCACACACAAGATTCATCCATCCATCAACTTTACCTGCTTTTTCCTTTTCGGGTCACTGGTGCCCATATGCTGTGCGAGAGACAGGGGACACTCTGGACAGGTCTCCAGTCCATCACAGGGACACAAAAAGACAAACGAGACAAACAACCATTCACTCTCTCACTCACACCTAGGGACATTTTAGAGTTACCAATCAGTCTAACATGCATGTTTTTGGACTGTGGGAGGAAATCGGAGTACCTGGAGAAAACCCACACATGCACAGAGAACATGCAATCTTTTACCCAGAAAGGTCCCTGGCTAGGATTTGGTCCAGCGCCCATCTCGCCGAAAGGCAGCAGCTTTTCCAACTGAGCCACTGTGTGTCCCTTCACCCGCTCCACAAAACACTCAAAATAAAAGCTACACTGTGTTTGCTGAATAAACATGTTTGTGTGCAACATCACTATTATTAATGTAAATCTGATTTCTGCAGGATTTAAGGGCGTGCACGGCAACGTTGACAGAGACCCTCTGTGTCATGTGGTGGACAGTGACTGCCTCTCTCTGGGTGACACCTCGCCACTCACTCCCATCGACTGCCTCTACTCCATGCAGGACTCGTACTTCACCTCCTGAGGGTGGAGACTGGAGATCAAGAAGTGCTGTGTGGGACTCACTCTGCTTTACACCCTGAAAACACCCGGTACCTCCAAAACTTTCGGGTGGATAAGTCATTTTTGCCTCTTTAAACGGATTGTTCAGACTTTATTGAATTGGGGCTCTGTGGAAAGGTTGTAAACATCTCACCTGTTGTGGATAATTATTTGAACGACAGCTTAGAGAAATACAGTTTAATTCTGACAGGACCAATGAGCCAACAGTTAGTCCGAGTACAGCCTTGACAATAATGATCTTCAAACAACTCCACTTTCCACAGAATCTTACTAAAAACATTTGAACTATGACTTTAACATTATTACACTGCTGCCTCGGATGCTTTGCAGTCCTGCTGTACAGCACAATCTCCAACAAGTGGCTAAACTGCATGCATAAAATTGCTGATCATATTCATGTAAGTTTCATTAGCTCATGAGATTAACATTAATTCATGTAAATACTCATTTGGGTGTGTATTTGTATTTATTTTCTCATTTTGTGTACAAGTTACTCATCTTGAATGATTCAAGGTGATCAAAAATAATAAATCTGAACCTGTGAGATGAATGCACATCTCATTCTGATGCGGTTGTAAGAACAAATTCTTGCTGAGGGTGAGACGCAGGTCAGTCCATCCTCATCACTTATCAGTCCCATCTTGGTGACATCTACCTCTGGCTGTTGGGTGTATCATGAGATTGTAACAAACCAGAAAGAAAAACTGGACTCTGACAGCTGCACGGGTCAGTGGCAGGTAAGCATGGCATCCACGCTGCCTTCATCAATGATCACATTGTGCTTCCCTTTGCTCTCGTCAAAGAAGACTGGGAATTGGGGAGGTGGGGGCACGGTATTGGGGACCACCCAAGCACTGTGCCTAGCTGGAATGCACCAATCCTGGGATGAGAAGCTGAGAACATCTACAGGGAGAGTGGGCTCTACAGCAGAGGGGCTGAAAGCTGTGTCAGGAGAGAATGTCCAGGGTGAGACAGAAATATGAAGCCCCACTGTACGGAGCGCCTCCTTGCCCCAGCCATGAACCCTCTCCTGGACTTAGCTCATATTCCCCTCTATGAAATCAGACCTTGCAGAGCAGAAAGAATGAGTCCAATGGTCGGGAACAATCTAACTGTCTGTCACCGTGGTGCACCGTTGCCAACAAGGGCTGAAGAAGTATGCAGCAGAGAATGCTGCTGTGTGTGGCTCCGTGAGTCCCTTTGGGTCTGAGTCTGGTTCAAGAAAGTGCAGGAATTTGCATGAATGAATGTGTCAGAAGGACTCCTGCATCATAATGCCTGACTTCATTCATTTAGGGATGAAACTCTAAAGATAAGGAGGAAACCCTTATAGGCAACGGCAGTTTCTTTTTTTTTTTTTGCTTGTTTTTATCATCTTTTTGAGTGTCTATATCAAACTTTGTTCCCCCACCCCCCAATAAAAAAAATGAAAGATCAAAATATGATCATATGGTCACAGTGGGCAGCAATAACCTCATTATGATTCTGACGGTAGCCAAACAGTTTCCTGTCAGCGGTCAGTTATTAATTGCTCTCCTCGTGCCAACCAGAAGCCACAAACCCTCTGTCTCTTAACTGGTTTAATTGGCTTCATGCTGCTGCAGCTCAGAGACAGATGTGCTTTTATGAAGATTCCTCCAAAGGCCCTTTGAAGCACTTCAATGCACGGAGGCATATTAGTCCAAAAAGACAATAGTTACACAGAACGTTAGGTAACATCAGTTTGTTTGAGAATATACAGATTATTTTTAAATGGCTGTTGTACTTTAAAATGAGGTGCGGACCTAAACAGGGAGATGTGGGGCCTCAGATCCCATGTTTGTATTGCTCCGTACTGGTTAAAGTGGTATATGGAAAATAACAAATACATTTTTGACCAATTCTATGAAAAAAAAAATACAAACTTCAGTTTTCCATGACATGTAGCAAAGGTTCATTATTTTCTGAGTCCCATGACAATCCTTGAGCCAATAATAGATCATATTTCTCCACTCCGTGACACAAGCTTTCCGGTCACTAAATGTGCTAAAGTGACACTGTTTGACAAGCTCTGAGACGTTTGGACCCTGCACTGCAAAGATGTGGCATCTGGGTGAACAGAGCTGTTGATGTGAGGACAAGGTCGTCTCACATTGTCCTACATGTTACTGGACAATGTTGAATGAATGCCAGAACTGATCAAGTGCTTGATTTATGACTCTGATAAGCAGTGAATAAAACAACACAATGACCAACAACAACTGCTCTGATTACATTTATTAAGACTCAAAGGCTGCACAGTGTTGCAGTATGATCTGAATTAAATATTCAAGTTCAAAGCATGGTATTTACACACATTTGTTAAACTTTTAGTGGTGAATAACACAACAGCATTTTTTTTTACTTGAAAAACCCTATAGTTTCAAAAATGATGATAAACGAAGCTTTTTGTGAGTGAACATACTTTAATACTGATAAATGTGTGTACTTTGACTCACTGTCAGTCCAAATTCTTGTGGAGGCACAAAGCAGCATCTCTGTGCTCTTGAGGAAGTTGTCAAGTTTGCAGGTGAAAACGCACAGAGAAGAAGAAATTCTCAAATAGGTCCGAACAATTTAAAAGGTTACAAAACCATCTGTAAAGAGTTTGGACTCCACCGATCTACCATCAGACACATTGTGTACAAATGGAGGAAATTCAAAACCATTATACCCTCCCCAGCAGTGGTCGACCAACAAAGATCACTTCAAGAGCGTTTAACAGTCGGTGAGGTCACAAAGGAGTCAAAGGTAACGTCTAAAAAACTGAAGGTCTCTCTCAGATTGACTAATGTTAATGTTCATGAGTCCACCATCAGGAGAACTCTGAACAACAATGGTGTGCATTGAAGGGTTGAAGGAGAAACCACTGCTCTCCAAAAACAACATGGCTGCTCGTCTGCAGTTTGATAAAGATCACGTGGACAAGCCAGGAGGCTGTTGGAAGAAAGTTTTATGGACGGATGAGACCAAAATATAACTTTTTGGTTTAAATGAAAACTGTTATGTTTGGAGAAAGGAAAACAGCATTCATGCATAAGAACCTTATCCCATCTGTGAAACGTGGTGGTGGTAGTATCATGGTTTGGGCCTGTTCTGCTGCATCTGGGCCAGGACAGCTTGCCATCACTGATGGAACAATGAATTCTGAATTATATCAGATGATTCTAAAGGAAAATGTCAGAACATCTGTCCGTGAACTGAATCTCAAGAGAAGGTGGATCATGTAACGAGACAATGATCCTAAACACACAAGTCTCTCTACCAAAGCATGGTTCAAGAAGAATAAAGTTCATGTTTTGGAAAGGCCAAGCCAAAGTCCTGAACTTAATACAATCCAAATGTTGTGGAAGGACCTGAAGTGAGCAGTTAATGTGAGGAAACACACCATGGGGAGCTTGTTGAGCTTGTGGAGGAGTTCAAATATCTGGGTACCATCTTTGACAGTCTGCTGAAATTCTCCGCCAACACGGAGGAGATCCTCAGAAAGTGTCACCAGAGGCTGTGGCTCCTCAGGAAGCTCAACTCCGTTGGAGTAAGTAAGATCATTCTCCAGACATTTTACTACTCCTTCAATGAGAGCATCATCACCTTCTCCATAACCTGCTGGTTTCATTCTACCAGCCTCCAGAACAGAATCCACCTGCAGAAGACGGTCACTGTCTGTTCTAAAATGATTGGATTACCCCTTAGGACCCCGCCTGTTGTCTTTGAACACTTAACATGCAGGTTAGTGAACCGGATCATACAGGACCCTTCACACGTCCTCATCTCATCATTTGAGTGACCTCCATCAGGTCGCCGGCTTCACTGCCCTGCCTGCAGGACACAGAGAAGAGCTACCTTTGTGCTCAGGGCTGTCCAGCTCTTAAACAAATAGTCCTGCTACATATACATTCCCACCCTTCATGCCTACCCCTAATACACATACATGCATACATCGCCCCATTCCACAGGACTTTAGTTGCAAAAAGAACTTACAGTACTTACCTCAATGCCCATTTGCACCTTGCTAATGCATATTGGACTTTCTTCTATTTTTGTATTTTTATTTGTTATTATTTTCATTCTAATTTTTATTTTTTTTTGACTGGGTTCTCTATCTACTTTTAGGACTTGTGTGAAAATCCAATGATATATTAGGTCATATTTATGCAGATATATAGAAAATTATAGAGTTCACAAACTTTCAAACACCACAGTATCGTTGCTGCATTCATCCTGTGTGTTTTGGAGCTTTGGCCAGTAGAAGGCACCGATGTGCTGCAGATAACCATGAACACAACTGTGTCTAGTGCTGATTCAAAATATGGAAACTAAGGTATGAGACAATTAAGACACATACAGTAGTGTATCTCTATTACAGCACAGTCACAAAGTAGGAGGTGTTAAATGAAATGTGCTTTGTAAAATTTTGAATAATAACCCTGACAACAAAATGTTTCTCTTCTCCACATTCCTGCAGACACTGTCTTAGACTTCTCCGACTGAGGAAAACTGTGTAGACAGGCTGATGTGCACCGAGCATTAAAACCAAATTTTACATAAAAATCAAATAATTAAAAAAACTAAAATCTGAGAGGAGGACATCTTTGGATTTAAAATACAGAACCATTCAACAGCCTAACTCACAAAGAGTCACAATTACACCTTTAAAAACTACTTGGGATCAATAGATCCAACCATTTCTCACACCAACATAAAGCTTCAGGGTAGCAGGAAACTGGAATTATCTCCAGCAGTTAATGGGTGAGAAGGAGGGTTACACTGTGGACAGATCATTTGTCCAAGACAAACAACCATGCAGGCACACACTCACTCCTAGGGCCAATTTAAAAATTACCAATTTACCTAACATGCAAGGTTTTGAACTGTAGAAGCAAAACGGAGTACCTGGAGAAAACTCACACATGCACAGAGAGAACGTGCAAGTTCCACACTAAG